AGGAATGAAATCAGGAGGGCCAAATCGCACCTGGAGCTGCAGCTAGCGAGAGATGTCAAGAGTAACAAGAAGGGTTTCTTCAGGTATGTTGGCAACAAGAAGAAAGCCAAGGAAAGTGTGGGCCCCTTAATGAATGAGGGAGGCAACCTAGTGACAGAGGATGTGGAAAAAGCTAATGTACTCAATGCTTTTTTTGCCTCTGTCTTCACGAACCAGGTCAGCTCCCAGACTGCTGCGCTGGGCATCAAAACATGGGGAATAGATGGCCAGCCCTCTGTGGAGAAAGAGGTGGTTAGGGACTATTTAGAAAAGCTGGACGTGCACAAGTCCATGGGGCCGGACAAGTTGCATCCGAGAGTGCTAAAGGAACTGGCGGCTGTGATTGCAGAGCCATTGGCCATTATCTTTGAAAACTCGTGGCGAACGGGGGAAGTCCCGGATGACTGGAAAAAGGCTAATGTAGTGCCAATCTTTAAAAAAGGGAAGAAGGAGGATCCTGGGAACTACAGGCCAGTCAGCCTCACTTCAGTCCCCGGAAAAATCATGGAGCAGGTCCTCAAGGAATCAATCCTGAAGCACTTACATGAGAGGAAAGTGATCAGGAACAGCCAGCATGGATTCACCAAGAGAAAGTCATGCCTGACTAATCTAATCGCCTTCTAAGATGAGATTACTGGTTCTGTGGATGAAGGGAAAGCAGTGGATGTATTGTTTCTTGACTTTAGCAAAGCTTTTGACACGGTCTCCCACAGTATTCTTGTCAGCAAGTTAAAGAAGTATGGGCTGGATGAATGCACTATAAGGTGGGTAGAAAGTTGGCTAGATTGTCGGGCTCAACGGGTAGTGATCAATGGCTCCATGTCTAGTTGGCAGCCGGTGTCAAGTGGAGTGCCCCAGGGGCTGGGGCAATATCTTCATAAATGATCTGGAGGATGGTGTGGATTGCACTCTCAGCAAATTTGCAGATGATACTAAACTGGGAGGAGTGGTAGATACGCTGGAGGGCAGGGATAGGATACAGAGGGACCTAAACAAATTGGAGGATTGGGCCAAAAGAAACCTGATGAGGTTCAATAAGGATAAGTGCAGGGTCCTGCACTTAGGACGGAAGAACCCAATGCACAGCTACAGACTAGGGACCGAATGGCTAGGCAGCAGTTCTGCAGAAAAGGACCTAGGGGTGACAGTGGACAGTGAAGCTGGATTTGAGTCAGCAGTGTGCCCTTGTTGCCAAGAAGGCCAATGGCATTTTGGGATGTATAAGTAGGGGCATAGCAAGCAGATCGAGGGACGTGATCGTTCCCCTCTATTCGACATTGGTGAGGCCTCATCTGGAGTACTGTGTCCAGTTTTGGGCCCCACACTACAAGAAGGATGTGGAGAAATTGGAGAGAGTCCAGCGAAGGGCAACAAAAATGATTAGGGGTCTGGAACACATGACTTATGAGGAGAGGCTGAGAGAACTGGGATTGTTTAGTCTGCAGAAGAGAAGAATGAGGGGGGATTTGATAGCTGCTTTCAACTACCTGAGTGGTGGTTCCAGAGAGGATGGTTCTAGACTATTCTCAGTGGTAGAAGGGGACAGGACAAGGAGTAATGGTCTCAAGTTGCAGTGGGGGAGGTTTAGGTTGGATATTAGGAAAAAAACTTTGTCACTAGGAGGGTGGTGAAACACTGGAATGCGTTACCTAGGGAGGTGGTAGAATCTCCTTCCTTAGAAGTTTTTAAGGTCAGGCTTGACAAAGTCCTGGCTGGGATGATTTAATTGGGGATTGGTCCTGCTTTGAGCAGGGGGTTGGACTAGATGACCTCCTGAGGTCCCTTCCAACCCTGATATTCTATGACACATACTTGAGCATGCAGCATTCCATTCATTAGAGAAAAGTAGTACACATACGTAGACTTCTGTCAATATAACAAGATGGAAACCAAAGTGAAAGAGCTTTATAGAGCATTACAGGTCATATAAAGCAATTTTAATGTGCAAGTTCCCATTGTCAAACTGACTTACACGGGTCATTCTTTTTCTCACATGTTGCTATTATATAAGGAACTTCATCTGATAAATTTTTATAATTGTGCTTGGGAAATTAAGTAGTTAAAAAAAACATACTGATTCCAAGTAAAGAAATTACTGCTTGTTTGAGGTACATATTCAGCAGAACGTGCAAGGAATCAGAAATATAACCCTCATCAAAAATTGTATGAGTGTGCACTTAATTCCCTATGCAGATTGCTGAAAATATACTCCTAAATTTCTCCGTGCTCTGATGGGAACTTCAACAGTAAAATAATCATCTTGCAGTTTATTACACATTTAGCAAGTGTAACCCATGCCTGCTGGGTGTGGTACCCTGTCCCTCTTTAGTGCCACCTAGACCACCGAGCCACATACGGCTCTTCAGAAGTTAATATGCAGCTCCTTGTGTAGGCACAGAGTCTGGGGCTGGAGCGACAGGCGCCAACTTTCCAATGTGCCGGGGGGGGGGGGGGGGAACAGCTCGCTCACTGCTCAACCCCTGGCACTGCCACAGGCCCTGCCCCCACTCCACCCCTTCCCACCCCCTCCTCTGAGCCTGCCCTGTCCTCGCTCCTCTTCTCCCCCACCCCACGCTTCCTGCATGCCACAAAACAGCTGATCAGGAAGCGCAGGGAGGGAGGGAGTGGGAGACACTGATTGGCGGGGCTGCCGGTGGGCAGGAGGCGCTGGGAGCGGGGGGGGAAGCTGGTGGGGGTCTGTTGACATATTACTGTGGCTCTTTCGCAATGTACATTGGTAAATTCTGGCTCCTTCTCAGGCTCAGGTTGGCCACCCCGACCTAGATGTTAATGAGTCTGCTACAACCAGGGGGCTTTTTGCTCATGCAGTAGATGCTCATACACTAAGCTTCAGAGGTCCCAAGTTTGATCCCGCCCACCAACAACCCAGGTCTGTCGGCATTACAAAGTGTGGGCTCATCCCAGCTCATCCACTGGGAAGTCTCGAAAGCTCAGAATGGGCTTCCTCAAATAAGGGAAGAATATAACCTATGCCTGCTAGGTTAGTGAGTCTGCTACAGCCTTAACTAAAAGCCACATGGCTTTTAGCTCACCACGTTTTAGACCACCTAGATGTTAATGAGTCTGCTACAGCCACGTGGCTTTTAGCTCATGCAGCAGATGCTCCTACACTAAGCTTCAGAGGTCCTAGGTTTGATCCTGCCCACCAACAACCAGGGTCTATCGGAATTACACAAGTACAAAATTTTGCAGCCGTGGGACATTCTTTGGGGTAAGAGATCTACAACTCATAATAAGGTATGAGGTTACAGCCACTACTTACTGCGTCTGATGCACTCATTTCTTTTTTTTTTTTTTTTTTTTTAAAGGGGTCTGTGTTTCATGTAGTTGAAAGCCGCTATCAAATCCCCCCTCACGCTTCTCTTCTGCAGACTAAATAATCCCACCTGTAGCTCTCCCACCTGGACACAGCGGGCACAAACTAAAAGCTATCTAGTTCACATTAACTTTTTAGTCCTGTTTAAAGGCCACTCTGGCCAGATCTACAGACCTTAGGTCGGTATAACTATATCACTCAGAGGTATGAAAAATCCACACCCCAAGCAATGCAATTATACTGACCTAACATCCAGTGTAGACAGCACTATGTCGACAGGAGTGCTTCTCCCATCAACATAGCTACTGCCTCTCACTGAGGTTGATTAACTACACTGAGGGGAGAAGCTCTCCCGTCTTCTCTGAAGCACTGGTGCAGCTGCACCACTGCGGAGTTTTAAGTGTAGACCGGCCCTAATTTAAAGTGAACTAGGCACCTTTTAGTTCACGCCCACAGCATCCACACAGGGGAATTACAGCACAGCACACCAGTGAGCACTGCAATTCACACCATTGTAGTCCAAACTGCAGGGCTGTGAAGACATAGCCTTAGAGCACATTACTTTTTAAAGTGTTACAGCCTGATCCAAAGGCCATTAAAATCAATGCAAAAATTCCTCTCTGGCCTAACCACTGTTTGGGAAAACGCCACCTGCAATAAGTGCTTCATTGTCAGCCACAGTCAAAACGTACAACTCTGCAGCAGGTTGCAGCCTCCTTTCCCATAAGAAAGGACCTCATGCATCAAAATAATTACAGGTTGACCTTTTGAAATTATGACTATTCTAAAGAGAAAAATGTCTATGGGAACAGAAGTAGTAGCAACAGTTTTAGAACTTTCTGTAATTTTTTTCTTTCAAATACCACCTATAAACATTATGGTCCAAAGAGCTTTTTAGAGTCTAATGTTGGTACATATTTTATATATCGTTTTCCCTCTTCAATGTAAGCCTATATATATTTTATACATGCACATTATTTAATATACATTAACATTTACATTATATTTAGAATCTAAACGGTTTAGGACCTACCCTAGATACAGAGTCTCTTTCCACTATGTCACAGCTGAGATCAGCAGGAGGACCTGACCTGGAGCCCCACTGTTATAAACGAAAGGGGGCTGCCAGCAGTGTTCTCTGTGAGGGCCACTCCCTCCTCCAGGCTTTGAAACTGGCTCTGGACCTTAATCCATAATAGCATGAACCTCAAAGCACATTGTAAAGCTCATCTTTTTTTCCCAGGCATTTGAAAATGAGGTGGAAGGATAGTAATGGTGGGCACTGTTGGATGTGGTGAAAGATTTCAGTTTTTAAGTTACCTGGTACACTGGTGGTAGGTTATCTTCCATTGTACTGCAGCACTTAGGGTATTTGTAAATGTTTTTAGGTTATGTCAAGGACTCCTTAAACAGGTGTCTTTTTTAAGCATTTGTATAAGCCAAAATATATTCCTTTTTCATATACATAAACACAAACATACATGGACCCTACTCCTGCAAACTGCTCCATGCTTATAGCAGAGCTCTTGGTCCACACAGCCCCATTGAATGGCTACATCACTCCAGACTGAAGTAAACGTAGGCAATCAGAAGTGACAAGATAAACAAAAGCATAGTCTCTTACCTCCCCCTGGAAACTCTTCAATAATGGAGCTACCTGTTTGCGCAGGTCCTGCAAGACAAAAGCAAAGGGATTCCATCAGGAAACAGCCATTTTTAAAAAGAAAGTATATAAAGAATAATTTTGATCAGAAGAAAAAGTGATTATTAAATATTTAGAATGGAGCAGCACATTGTCAATTTTTTTTCTAATTTTTTGAATACTGATTTGAATATTGATTTTGAAGCTTGATTGTATTTTATGGCAATTTTTGTTTAATCAGAGGTCAGCTAGAATTCATTCTGAACAGGATCGTGTTTCCAATGTAATAGTTTCCAGTTTGGTACACACTTATAATTGTTGCAAATGATGATAACTGGTTAAAGGCGGTGGTAATGTTGGGCAGACAGTGAACTCTTTTAGTCTTATAAGTCCATTGGAACAGTGAAGTGAATAATGTGATCTGAAGTAAATTTGTGTGTCCACCTGAAAAGCATTCTAACTACAGCCCTGAATTTAAGTCAAAGTCTCCTTTTGACATGTGTGAATTTGCATTAATGGGAGTTGCACTCAAAAGGAGGAAAGGCCATCAGGAGCCATAGAGTTGCCAACCATCCAGGATTGGTCTAGAGCCTCCCGGAATCAGCACTGATCTCCCGGTGACTATCGCAAGCAATCCAGGAGATTTTAATAGGACATTTTCAGAAAATGACATTACATCATGTTGGGGGGGGGGGGGGAAGAGAATCTCCTGGAAAAGCTTCAGACAGAGTTGGCAACCCTAAGGGGCCACCACCTTAACCAAGGACAGTTTGGCTTCGCCCCTATTGAAAGAGGGAACTTTTGTAAAAGGCTGCTGTAATTCCAGTGCCTTTGAGAACAATGAGAAATAGTAGCCATTTTGAAAGTGGGAATTCTTTGTGGTTCTTCTACAGAGAATTCATGATTTGTTAGCCCCTGCTAAAGAAGAGTCTTTCAGTTATGAAGTATGATGGCAACAAATGGCCATTAATCCTTAAAAAAAAAATTAAGAAGGCTTCAGATGTAACCTACACATACTACATGGGAAATCTGAAAAGTCTATTACTTCACCATCAAGATGGTGAAAAAAAACATAGTACAGTGGTCTGATAGTACTAAATTTCTTAAAGGACCTTCTTTTAAACTAATTTTAATTCTAATTAACAGATGTACTTATAAATTCTGAAAATTCATTCTATGCCCAAAAAGTAAGTGCTGTAACTGGGGAGAATATTCTGTAGATTCTTCAAGTGGTTAAATCCCTATTTGAAGTGCAAAAGTCAACTGTGGAACCATATGCAGCACTTGTATAGTTTATATACTTGTAAATATATCTAAAATAGAGACTACACACAACAACAGGGAGGTGCTGCATTAAGATTTTATTGGTATGACTTATGGATTGGCAACATTACAAGTGGTAAAGCCATGAGCTGCACAAATCATCCCAAACAAGTGTCACTGAAACTTTATACCACCTCATACAACCATGCCATACATGTTTTAATACAAAAAGCTGTTTTTCAACCTTTCTAAAAATTGGCTAATTTTTGTACCCTTCCATCTGTAAAATCAGAGTCCCCTAGTTATAATGAATATCAAAGTCAGAAAAACTTTGAAAAATCATCTGTTTAAAAACAAATTTAAATGGCACAATTTCAAGGTTCAATATCTTAGAGACTTCTAGAAAACTTGGTCCTCTTAGAAAGCCAGGAATTTTGTCTTACCAGTGGTAAAAAGCCTTTTCTTTGAACCCCGAACTTAATTTTGCCCACCCTGGTTCTTACATGAGTGTAATTTCTTGAAGGAAATGGAAACAATTTTCTGGCAGATTAATTTTTTTTTTAATGGCAGTTGTTTGAACTCATTTCATATTCCAATTCTCTGAAGCTGTTTCAGAGGGTTTGTATATCAGAAGTCCTAACTGGGATGAATTAGTGCCCAGAATGCAGGTGAAGGTGTCAAAGACAAATGATTAGTTGAAGAACTATGTTGTAAGTATAATTTATCACACATTCTTTCAATTTCAATGCATGGCTTTGCACTGTATCATATGACTATCACCTTACAGTACACATCCATCTCATGATAAGAATACCGTGGTAGCCATATAAAACTCTTTAGCACCCAAAAAAAACACTGATTAGAACACTGATAGTTCAGTCCAAAGAGGACTGTGAAGAGGTAACAAAAGTAACTCAGGAAACTGGGTGAACAGGAAACACAATGGCAGATGAAATTCAATGTTGATAAATGCAAAGTAATGCGCAGTGGAAGCATAATCCCAACTATACATACAAAATGGTGGGATCTAAATTAGCTGTTACCACCCAAGAAAGAGATCTTGGAGTAATTGTGGATAGTTCTCTGAAAACATCTGCTCAATGTGCAGCAGCAGTCAAAAAAGCTAACAATGTTAGGAACCATTACGAAAGGGACAGGTAATAAGACAGAAAATATCAAAATGCCACAATAGAAATTCACAGTATACCCACACCTTGAATACTGCATGCAGTTCTGGCCACCCCGTTTCAAAAAAGATATATTGGAATTGGAAAAGATACAGAGATGGGCTGCAAAATGATTACAGACATGGAAAAACTTCCATACAAGGAGAGATTAAAAAGACTGGGACTCTTTAGTTTAGAAAAGAGGTGTATAAGGGGAGTAGGGATATGGTAAGTCTATAAAATCATGAATGGTGTGGAGAAAGTAAGGAAGGAAGTGTTTACTCCTTCACATAACACAAGAACCAGAGGTCACCCAATCAAATTAAAAGGCAGAAGGTTTAAAACAAACACAAGGAAGTACTTCTTCACACAACACATAGTCAACCTGTGAAACTTGCTGGTAGGGAGGGGGGGGCAAACTTTTTGGCCCGAGGGCCACATCAGGATTGTGAAACAGTATGGAGGGCCAGGTAGGGAAGGCTGTGCCTCCCCAAACAGCCTGAATGATTTATTACATCACAACACAAAAACAGCAGACATTTAAATAGGTCAGAATTTAAAGTATCAAAGCAGTGATAAATACTTCAGGCTAACAAAGCTTCTATTTTAAAGAGCAAAAAGCTTCATCTCAAAGTATAGCATAAGGTCCAAATGAAACCCTGGTGTAACTAATAGTATCGTAACATAGTAATGTTACACCAATTCTGAATTTGACTGAGTCATTTTAAAAATGACCTGTGAAATTTGAGTAATTGTTTAAAATTCCAGTTAAACATATTGCAATTTCTAAGCCTACAGTCAAATATATTTACAACTTGAAACATGGCTCTCCATTCACCCACCTCCAAGTTCTAACATCAGACTTCCAAATGCATCCTCCAAGTAGGCAAAATATTAACAAGCAGGATTACATGACATGGTGGCAGAAATACTTGTGCCACGTTTATTCTACAGCGTCCACCATTAGTAAAACTATGTTTACAAAATTTCCTGGGGTAGATGCATCCTATGAGTGTATACGACATTCCCTTTATGGGTTCTGACATTCAAAGTGATTCAGCCAATCCTCTATTAGAGGGTGCTATTGAATTGGGGACCAATTATAGTCAGTCTTTGGGTTTGCTGGAGTGGTGATCACTTAATACAGGATATTGAAACATGTAAGAGGCTTTGATACCTTGGAATGGTAGCTAAGGGCAATAAAGGTGTGGCACTTAACACTCTACATCTTATCTCCTTTCATGTAACAATAAACTTTGAGAAGAATGACCCAAAAAAAAAAAATCTTATATTCTGCTCCAGTATTTTAAAAACACCCAAAATAAGTGCACCTTTGAAAAGAATGGTAAGTAAACTGAACTGAGTATCACACACCAGAAGAAATGACTATGCATTTTCACCTGCTCGTTATTTTTGCAAATTGTTTTAGTTTGGTCTAGTAGTTTTATAAGTGCTTACTAGGCTAACTGGCATTAAAACTTCAGACATCTCACAAAAGAGAGAGGAAGTAAAAATAAAACCACAAAAGTAGTCAGAACTACGTTTGCCCCGAGTCACCAGCTAAATCACTCCTGCTAGATTTATTTTTGGCAGTTTGAGAAATTACTTACCAGACTATGGCTCCAAATATTATACTAATGTCAGATATAATTCTACCTTCTCTGCCCTAAACTGGACAAAAATAAGGACGCTCAATTCTGACCCATAGGAACCTGTTATGTTGGTTAGCAAGGACACGATATGATTTATTATCCTTTTAAAATGTAGTGGCCTTTACTGTCTGGGCTGTGATCAAAATAAGAGCTGCAACCAAATCCAGCCCTCACACACAGCTCTGTAGCATATCACTGTGATTCAACACTACAGCTAGAAAGGGTACATTCAACTGAACATTAGAACAAATGATAATTTGTCAACACAAATGCATCAAAGACTGTACTCAAGTGCTCCTATACGATCAAATTAGAAGCATATTTTTCCTTGCCATCTAAATGTGCTCTCTCTGTGGATGATTTATCAGGACACTGCCTTTTTCAGAAAGCTCCTCTATCAGAGACGAACTCAGCACCCCAAAAAAGTATGAATTAGTATGTTGTAGCGCTATCAAGATCAAATCTGTACAACACTGAAGGCCAATATGGTATCTCTTCTCTTTAAAGTAAGAAGAAACAAACAGTTTTACATTTTGATAAAAGAGCTACACAATGAAATCTGAATCCCAATAATTTTTTTTAACTCCTTTTTCATTGGCATTAAAAATAACCCTTCAGACAATGAAGCAACAGTAAACCTAGGATACAAAATTGGACACCAAATTTGTCTTTTTGATATCCAGATTGTATTACTTATCTATTACCATCTTCATATATTGCACTGGTGTATGCAGATATACCAGCTCAGGATAGGCTAGCAACACTGCACTTTTAATTTACTTTATCTCTGAAGCTACACAGGACCTTTTGCTTTCTCTTAGGCTTTGTCTACACTACACAGCTTTGTCGCTAGAAGTCAGACAGCGTAATTGCTGTTTGTTGGCACTTTTGCCAACAAAATACTTCCACCCCCTACAAGCGGGGTTCACGCTGTCAACAGGACAGCACT